CGCGCCATGTGGTCACCTCCCTGTCTGGGAATCGAACTCATGCAGAAGTGGCTTTAGCTTCTTAGTGCTGCGCTTTAACCCGCTGCGCCGCTAGGGAGGGCCCTGCTTAGCATCTTTTAATATACTTTGTAAAGTTACTTATTTATCATGTTTATTGTCCATCCTGGCCCCTTGCCAGGCCTGCCCCCCCACCTGTCCCTTTGTCTCTGCCACATCAGACTGTGGCCTCTCAGGGCGGGTGTCACTGCTGGGGCTTCGAAAGGCCTGGCACTTGGCAGGTGATCAGCTCCTATTTGTTACTGGGACGCATGGAAGGGCTCTGGGCTGGCGTCTGTACCAGAGTCCCAATCAAGGGCTTGGGGGGCAAAGGAAATGGGAGGGCATAGGCTGAGTTTGGGGAGCCCACTGGCGAGCATGGTGAGACCACCTCACCAAAGTTTGTAAGAGAAGCTGGAACTCTGGAGTTTAACATGAATTCTCCTGGGGTCTCAATGCTACGATCATTCAACACAAAGCGTAACACTTGAATGTGCCACCTGTGTGCTGGATTTGGCATGTGGCTGCCAGCTTGTCTCTGAACTGAGATATAATTGCTTGGAAGACTGTCCCTGGTGACTGTGAGCCTCAGTTTCAAAGAGGTTTTGGCAGAGAGGGAAGCCATGGTTCTAGCCTGAGGCATCTGGCAGGCACAGCTACCAGCACTGTCTCCAGGAACAGGTTGGAGGTCAGAGACAGGCGCTCACATTGGAGGAGCTTTGTGATCTCAGAATGCTAGCCCAGGGAAGCCCCCTCCTCCAGGAAGCCTTCCTGGGCCATACCCCCTGCAAGGATGCAGCACAGTGGGTGGGCTTTGCCCACACACCTCCTCAGCACGTGTCTCACAATTCTGGTCAAGGGGCTCTCAGGGTCCCCTGACACTAGACTTGGAGCTCTTTGGGCTGAAAGACCTGGCTTGGCCACTTTGCCTTCCCATAGTACTGCCTACCGTAGGCCCTGAAATGGATGCGTAAGCCCCGCCGGCCTTCACATTCAATCATGAGAAAGGCCAGGTTTTTGGGTTTTGTTTTAAGGCAAGTATCGGATGTGGACATACTGGTTTCCTTAGTATTTTTCAGATAAAAGCAGGATCGGATTATGTTGGTGCTCTGAAGAGAAGCACCCTGAGCTCAGGTGCCTCCAGACGGGCCTCAAGCAATGAGCCGCCTCCCTTTTATGGCCTCAAGTGATGAGCCGCCTCCCTTTTAGGGCCTCAAGCGATGAGCCGCCTCCCTTTTAGGGCGGGGTGTGTCGTCCTTACAGTTGGCACTTCGGGGCTCACGGCCAGCCATTGCTGCCAACTCACCCCCTGAGTCCTCATAACACTGGGAGGCGGCAGCCTGGGTGGGTGATGAAAGGGAGGCAGAGAGGTCAAGTAACATGCCTCCGAGTGCACAGCCGGAGCGGACACAATGGGCTTCAAATCGGGCCCTCTCAGACTGACCAAAAGTTCATTTTACTGGTAAGGAATGCTGTTTTCTTAACAGTTGTTTTAAAATTCAGTGTATATAAAAAAAAAATGCCAGAAATAAAGGCAGCAACTACTGCCACTCCCTCCATAACATATGTATGAGAAAACTCTCCCGTGGCAAGTGGCTGTGACGTCAGCCAGAGTGCGTGCAAAGCCCTCTGCACGCAGGTGTGCTCAGCCAGGGCGCAGCACCTGCCAGCTGGCAAGGCCCTCACGCTCGGTCACACCGTGTATCTGTGTCTCAATGCCGGTGCAGTTTGTGCTCTGTCTGAACCTTTCAAACTGTCTCGAAGTTTCTTCCAGAAACCCCACATGCTGGGGAGGGGTTCCAACTTTCCTGTTCAAGGATCTCACGCAGGAGGCTGAACAGGGGGGCAGCTAAGAGCTGCCACGGGGGACAGCAGGCAGCAGGCCTGACTATATATATTTTAAGAGAAGCTGGGAGTTTGAATTTTTGAATGAAAAACAGCTTCTAAATGCTGACAGTCACGTTAAAGTGTAGGGAAGCAAGTGTGGGCCCCATCGTTGATTCCCGGGGCGGTGGAAGTCCCACACTAAAATGTGCTCCCACACTTCTAGGCTTGAGAACACGGAGTCTGGACTCCAGCAGACCTGGGTCTGGGCAGCCTGTTCTGCCTCAGTGTCCCCACCCGGCAAGTGTGTGTGGAAGCACCTCCCGCCCAGGAGAGCTGGAGATTCCCTGAGAAGTAGGAATCAGGTTGAGGGGCCGCCCAGGCCCTGACTGCTCAGAGACCGACATATACCTCTCTATCTCCACATCTCTCTGCACACACATCCACACACACACACACACATATGCTCAGATCACGTTGGTGATCGTGGGCAATATCAAAATGGATGATTTTAAGAGCATGAAGCCCTGGAATAGCAAAATAGATGATTTTAAGAGCATGAAGCAATAGAAAAATCAATTAGAATTTTGCTTTCTATTCATTCCAAAGTCAACAAGTATTTGTTGCAATCTACTGAATATCTACGCCTTATGCTAGTTTTTCCTTATGCTAGAATTGCCAAAGCTAGTTATTTTATTCTATTTTAAGTCATCAACATACAAAAAATAGGGCTGACAATTTAGTGTTTGCCAGCACCTGGGGTATTTCTTTCCCTTCCTTTCTTTCCCTTCCTTCTTCCTGACTGGGGACCCCGCAGAGACCAGGAAAGGCACAGAGCCCATGCTTGGGCCAGGAGGGGGCTATCACCGATGTAAACACTGCTACTTTGTAGGGCAGTCAGGGAGGGCGTCCTAGAAGAGAGAACACTACTGCCTCCCTACTTTGTCAGGGCAGTCAGGGAGGGCTTCCTGGAGGAGAGAACACTACTGTCTCCCTACGTTGTCAGGGCAGTCAGGGAGGGCTTCCTGGAGGAGAGAACACTACTGTCTCCCTACGTTGTCAGGGCAGTCAGGGAGGGCTTCCTGGAGGAGAGAACACTACTGTCTCCCTACGTTGTCAGGGCAGTCAGGGAGGGCTTCCTGGAGGAGAGAACACTACTGTCTCCCTACGTTGTCAGGGCAGTCAGGGAGGGCTTCCTGGAGGAGAGAACTCTACTGTCTCCCTTCTTCAAGACCTCGCTGGCACTGCAGCAAGCAGCTTGGGCTCTTACCTGCTCCTCCTCCTCCCTCAGGCTGGGCAAGGTGCTGACAGACAGGTTGACAGCGGTGACCGTGACAAAGAGCACAGACAGGCAGGCAAACACCTTGCCAGGCAGCCCCGAGTGCGGCCTCTCCACCATGTCTCGCAGTCTCCGCATGCAGCGGCCCAGGCGGCTGTCGCCCGCGGCCGGGCCCTCGCTGTCAGGGTCCTCGCTGTCCGCAAGGTCGTCCTCGTCCTGGCGCTCCACCATCTCCGCCAGCTCCTCGATCTTCTGCAGGTAGCGGCGCTTGCAGCAGCCGTCCAGCTGGTCCTCGGGGATGCCCCAGTAGAGCAGCTCCTCCTGGAAGGACAGCGCGCACATCTCGCGCAGCAGCCGCAGCTTGCCGGCGCGCAGGAAGGTCAGGATGGTGCCGAAGGCGCCGGGGTTGCGGTCGAAGAAGAACTCGTTGCAGGTGACGTCGTAGTCATCACACACGTTGAGGATGTCGTCGAAGTTGGTGCAGGCCTTGAGCTGGCCCAGCCGCGTCAGCGGGAACTCCTCCAGCGTGGTCCAGGGCAGCGAGTACTTGATCCCGCCCACGTTGATGATGATGCGCCGCCGCCGGTCCTCGGCCGGGCCGCCCGGGTGCGCCCGGGGCTCGTCGTGCGGGCCCAGCCGCTGCGCGCGGCGGTAGAAGACGCCCTTGAGCGAGCGGCTCTGCGTGAGGAAGGCAGGGTGCAGCGAGGCGTCCGAGGCGCAGCTCAGGGCGCTGTAGTCGTAGTCAGAGTTGTCTCCGGGTAGGAGGGTCATTTTGGGCTTCACATACCTCTCGGGGCTGGGGAGAAGGGGAAAGACCTCAGTGACTGGCGGGTGCGGGCGGCGGCCGCAATGCTGACGGCAGGTGTTTGCGGCACCCCACTCCTTTGTGTCCCTCCGCAGTCTGTCCGAGGCCCGAAGCCCCTCTGGGAGGTGACTGAGTGCAGGCTTGGAGCGGGGACCCCACCTCCGACCCCACGCTGTGGTGGAGTTAGTGCCCTCAGAGGATAGGAAGACTCTGGAGCTCCCTCTCTCCACCAGGGCATCGCAAGCTGGAAGGAACACCCCTCCCCCCAGCTCCACCCTGCGGACACCCCTTCCCCACAGTCCACCAGGCAGGCACCCCTTCCCCACAGTCCACCAGGCGGGCACCCCTTCCTCACAGTCCACCAGGCGGGCACCCCCCCCAGCTCCACCAGGCGGGCACCCCTTCCTCACAGTCCACCAGGTGGGCACCCCTACCTACAGCTCCACCAGGTGGGGGCCCCCCCAGCTCCTCCAGGCGGGCACCCCCATCTGGGACTTCCAGCCCTCACAGCCGAGCCAGGAGTGGCCAGCAGGAGTGGCCAGCCCCCAGTGCAGGCAGTCTCAGCAGGGCCAGCCTCAGGAATGAGAAGAGCTCCACTACTCACTCTCCTCCACCCTGCGACTCTTCCCCTGGCCCCTGCGGCCCTTCCACAGCCACCTCACTGATGCCGGGAACTGGAGCTGGTGCTGTGGGTGCCAAGCCAGCTCGAGGTGGGGATTCCCAGCTGTGCAGGCCCTGACTCCGCAGAGCTGGCGGCCACCGACATCGGGCCTGTATCAGCACTTGAAGTTGGCCTGGGTTTTGGTACTGAGCTTGGACAGGGGACTTAGTGTGGACCAGTGATTCTCAATCAGGGCCGATTCTAACCCTGGGGATGTGACCACACCTAGGGGCATTTTGACAGCCGCGACTCAGGGGTGCTACTGGGCAAGGATGCTGCTACATGTCCAGTGACGGCCAGGCCAGACCCCACAACGATTCAAGCCCAAATGTCCACAGTGCTGAGGCGGGGCAGCATCGGGGTTCAGGTCTGAAGCACCACCACGTGGCCTGAGCAAGACACTCAACCTAGAGGGGGCTCAGTTTCCTCATCTGTGAAATGGGTGTGAACCCCTGGTCTACTGCAGAGGACTGTTGAGAGGATTCAGTGAATTACTACATATGAGCAGTGTCTGGCACATAGTAGCTACTCAATTATTATCTATTATTGCTATGAACGCTGGTTGTAAAGGGGGGGCCCTTATTGCTCCTGTAAGTGGAAAACTGATGTCACCTGCCATAAGTAAGAGGCAGCGTCCAAAGAAATGCACGTGAGAACAACAGTGACCGTGGGCTCACTTATCAACAAACATCTGGACAGACATGCTCCCTCCTCCAGGAAGCCTTTCTTGACTTTCCCAGCTAAACTGATTGATCCCCTCCCCCAACCTGGTGCATTTATCCTTACTGCAGTTATTAGGGTGCTCTCTGTATCAGACCACGTGCTTGAGCCCAGCGGTGTAGGAACACAGAGCTGGCAAATGCGCACATTTCCCGCAGGTGAGGCCACAGTGAGGAAAGCATTTCCCAGAAACTGAGGTCAACACACCAGCTTGCACACTGCTCCCTCCCCAGGCCTCACTGCTAAGAGTTTGCGCTACTGGAAAGAGGTGGCTTATTCTTTCATCGCTCGTGGGCTAAAGGTGGTTCACAAATATTTTCTCTGGCTTGGAGATGATTTTGAAAATGGAGAATCTAAGTATAAAAGTGCAGATACTTGGCTTCTTTTAAAAAGCCAGACAATGCAGCAATATTTTGGCCCAAATTGCAACCGAGAGACAGCTGCCTTTCAGGCGGGGCGTGCCAGTCCCCCGCAGCCCTGCCTCCCTGCTATATCCCTGACCCTCTCTATACTGGTCTGCGGTCCTGGCCCCTGGAGGCATTTGGGTTTGAGACCCTTGGATTAAAGCAGCAGAGTTTTCCAGAATTAGGGAAAGTAATTAAGCGTATAATACCTTGCTTGTAAAGATCATACCCCAACCTCACCCAACCCCCAGTGGAAATAAGCCATCCTGGTAAAGTCGGTAAAAGCCAAGTGGAGGCCCATTGCCTGTACCTGATGAGCCCATTGCCTGTACCTGAGCCCATTGCCTGTGCCTGAGCCCATTGCCTGTGCCTGAGCTATGGTGTGTTCAGGGAGCACACGGGTGCGCACTCCCACACAGACAGGGCGAATGAAAAATGTTTTTCTGTGTACCGGGGAAGCGTCTCTACATTTGAAGAGGGCTCCTTCCTAACAAATTCTTTCACAAAAGTAAGACACCTCTTCTCTCATTAATCTGTGGGGAAAGCTACAGTTTCACAGATCAGGTTTTGGAAAACCAGGGGGTACACCTGTGTTTGAAGGAGAAACGATTTGATTTGAAAGTGTGGAAAGTGTTTTAAACTTCACCATCTCCAAGGCAAAGCCTGCCAGAGCCTTGGGAGGCGTGGGAAGAGCCCTATCAGACACTTCACGTGAGAGATCCTCTTTGCAGCCCGGCTGCTTTATCTTTGCCACCGAAGGGGAGAGACGACATTCTGTTCAGAATAATGGTGACGGAGGCCAAAGCGCATCCCCTCGCCCCACCAGCCCCCAGAGCCCTGTGAGCCCCCACACGTTCTCTTACGGAATTTCTCCTTTCTACCCACCCCACTTTCCCTTTCCAGAAAGTTCCTCAATAAGCGATTCCTCGTAGCTTTCTCATGGGTTGTGCTACTCGTGAGTACAAGCCCCGGAGTCTTGTGGGGAAGGTTATCCTGCCTCAGTCCTGCTCTGGAGGAGGGACAGCAGGAGTGCTCAGGGAGTGGGTCGGGGCGCAGGGGCAGGGCTGGGCTCGGGGCATGGGTCGGGGTACGTGGTCAGGGCTGGGCTCAAGGTGTGGGTCAGGGCATGTGATGAGGGTGTGGGTCAGGGCTTGGGTCAGGGCGTGTCCTAGGTGCTGTTTGGGGAAAGGCATTTGATGGTGATGCCAAGGAGTTCTAAAAGGGCGTCACTCATTCATTCATTTTTTTCATGGAACATTTACGACATTCAGACTTATTCTAGTCTACAGGCAAAACAGAAAAAAAGAACTAGGGCAAAAGACCCAGCCCTGGTCTTCATGGAGCTGGCATTCTAGCGGGGAAAGACAATCTCCGAAGTTTGCAGGTCATTGTAGGAAACAGAACAAGGTGACAGATGGAAAAGGACCTGGGGTTGTGTGTGGCAACATTAGCTGGAGAGGTCTTGGAGGGCTTCTTGGAGGAAGGGGCCCTGGGGCGGACAGCCCTGTGAGGACCCTGGGAGGGTCTTGGGCAGAGGAATGGGAAGACCTTCCTCCCTGAGCTGGGGGTGGGCTCAGATGGCCAAAGTCCCGAGAGAAGGCAGTGTGGGCGGGCAGAATGAGTGAGGGGGGTCCAGACGATGAAGGGGGGGAGGTCGGGGGGCGGTGCCGGATGGAGCAGGGTCTCTCAGGCCGCAGCCACAAGAACTGGGGTTTCTTTTACACCAGAGGGGGGCACTTCAACCTTTTGTGCTGGAAGCCCCTGTGGTCATTCTGGAAAGAGGCGTGAGGTTTGGGCCGATGGAAAGGACTGGAGAACTGGACGGATCTGAGGCTGGACTTGGGAGGGACGCTGACCGATGGGGGTGGGGGGTGTAGGGTGGGAAGGAGGGGAACATAGGATTCCAGAGGTGACAGATAGGTGGCGCTGTGGGGAGCCCAACGGAAGAAGTGACAATCCCCGCTGTGGGAGGAAGGACTGGAGAGGGTCACCAGGGGAGGCTGGGGCCTCGCACTTGGATGGAGATGGCGTCAGGCCACCAACACTGACCTGATGACTTTGTGTGTTTCGTGGGGTGGGGGGGTGATCAGCTGGTAGTTGACCTGGCTGGGCTGGAGAGGGCAGGACGGCAAGGCTAGCAGAGCTGCGGGTGCCCAGCACCCAGCACCCACTGCTTCAGCTGCACCCCCCGCCCCAGCCCAGAGTGGCTAATGCAGGTGGACGCCACAGGGAGGGGCAGGGAGGGGCAGCATAAGAACTCTCAAGTCCCGTCCTTGCCTGACCCCTACAACTGAATGCACTAGGCAAGGAGGAATGTAGGCGGTCGGCTGTCTGGGATGGGAAGTGTCTGGGGCCCCCTGGGGGGGGCAATGCAGCCAGCAGCAGCCTTAGAGCATGGGAGAGAGAGGCAGGAGAGCGTCAGAGCCCCAGTGCCAGGGGAGCGAGGTCACGAACAGGGAACGGCAGCCTCCAGCTATGGAACAGGCAGGGAACCTACTCGCTCTCGACTCCAGAGAGGAACACAACCCTAGAAGGCCCCCTTGAGACTTATGTCCCCCAGTAGTGTGAGATGACAGGCGGTGATGAAGCCACCCCACTCCATAGTTGTGTTGTTATAGTAGCAACAGGAACCAGCTACGGGGGGGAAGTGGGTCAGGTTGGGGCAGCAGAAGCACCCACAGGCTCCGAAATCAGGACGCCTAGGGTTAAGGCCAGTGGCTCTGTGGCTGTGGACGAGTCATGTCCTACCTCCGAGACACGTTTCCTCATCTGTAAAATGGGAGTGTGACTTCTGCCCCCTGGGGACCGATGAGCTGACAGCGGATATGCAGTTGGCCCCCAGAGTTGCCAGTTACTTCATTATTAGCCGGGTTGAGTCTGCCGCCCCCTCCTCCAGCCCAGGGCGGCTACTTTCTTGACCTGATCCAGCAGAATCTGAACGCTGCATTGCCTGACCCAGAGCCCAGGGATGGAGGGAGTGTGGTCAGGTCCAGCCTCTGGGAAAGCCTTGGGGAAGGGTGCTGGTGACCTCTGACCACGGGATTATTTATACTCGAGCCCTTGGTTCGGGATCTGCTTCTGGGGAGCAGGACACGGCCCAAGGCCACACAGCCCGCCCGTGTTGCTGGTAGCCCTGGGGGTGCGAGGCCCGGCCTGGAGGAAGGGACCGCGAGAGGTGTGG